CGGATGCGAAATATGGGGCTTTGGAAAATCGAAAGAAATAGAACGTGCTCATTAAAAATTTTGTAAATAATTATTAAATGTTAAAATGTCAACATGTACAAATAGTATTTATAGGGAGTTAGGTCGATTTCCAATGTATATAAATAGATATGTTAGAATTATTAAATTTTGGTGCAAAACTGTATCTTGATCAGTAAACTATATAATTGTCTACTTGAAATAAAGAATAATAAAAATAATTGGGTTTATAATGTTAAATCTCTTTTAGATGAATACGGATTTTCCTATGTATGGTACAATCCAGGTTTAGTTGACTTGAAAAAAAATCATATTTTGTTAAAAGGAAGAGTAACTGATGTTTTTAAACAAAAATGGAAACGTAAGTTATCTACCAGTTAAGTATCGTATGGATATATTAAAAATATTTTTGAATTTGAATCTTATATAGACATTTTACCTAAAAAGTTTAGAATTGCTACATCTAGACTGCGTTTATCATCGCATAAACTGAGAATTGAAACAGGCCGATATGCGCCAAATAGAATAGACCGCAATCAAAGAAAATGCTTACTTTGTAACAAAAACGATATAGAGGATGAATGTCAGTTTGTAATCATTTGCCCGTATTACGATGAATTAAGAAAGCCTTTTATAAAATCTTATTATTACAGACATCCAAGTGTTTACAAATTTGTAGAATTGATGCAATCTAGGAATTTTAAAATAGTAAAGAATCTCGGTAAACTTTTGTATATTGAGCGAGTCAAATTGTTTAGTTTTTCATCTCGTTTATACCATCTACTAGTAAATGATATTGAACTTTACTAAATCTAGGTTGTGTATAATTTTTGTATTCATAAACTGAATTGCAACTGTATTCATATACCCTACCTCCTTCTCCATGTGATAAATATTATTTTTTCTATCTATCTATCTATCTATCTATCTAGTGACAGTTGAGCAATTAGTGAAAGTTGCAGCTTCGGTTTATTTGAGTTACCTGCACAAAAAATAATATGATCAAGTGTCATTTCCATTCTACCAAAATTAAATTAAGATATATTAGTTTCGAATTGATTCTACGAGTAACTTTATAAAAACTTAATTTGGCAACCAAGTTAGGAAAATTGCGTATGAAAAAAATAATTTCGAAACCGATTGTTTTTATATGATACATTATCTGCTTTTTGTTAATATTTTATGTTACGGCAGGAATAATGATATAAATCTATCAAAGTGCTTGTATAGTTAATTTTGCTTATTAAAATATTTGATGTAACTATTGAAAAATCTTTTACTGCTAACGCAAGGTATACACTGATTTTCAGAGAAGAGAAAAATATATTTTGGCATTACTAAATCTCACGTTCAGTATGTTAGACTTAGATATCTTACTGTGTCAGAAACTGAAGCACATGCTCTGTTTTCTTTTACACACCTGACGTATGTTAAGGTATTACAGGTAGTCGACGTTGTGCAACATATGTACCTACTGCCTTAGAGGCCGCCAATAAGTGGAACACTTTATTTTCCAATGTCAAAGTCGTTATCAACATGTAAAAATATATGCATGTACAAAATTAACCTTTTATTTTTATTTGATCTCATTTTTACTAAAGTTTTAATATTAAAATAAAATTCAACATTTTTTCTTTATAAAACAATGTGTGACATGATTTTTTTTAATTAACATTAATGATTTTCTAAATCACTCTTTATGAGTTTAAGAAAGAAGGTAACTATATGAAAAATAACAGAATGTGAAAAGGTTCCATAATAGTATACGCTCTTTAAGTTACAACATACATTTATTTATAAGAATGACGAACTCTACGATTGCAAGGAAGTCATTTGATCATCTCACGGTAATGGTTTCATGCTATTTGTATTGAACAGCGACTACTTGAATAAATATCATTTTATATTTAATCAGAAAGCAGTGCAATTTACTTTTCTTTCTCCGTTCCTAATCTTGCTTCGTAAACCTATCATAATAAAGAGAAAGTACTCTGGTGTGTAAGAAGCTTAGATGAGATATTTTTATACGTATTGAGAATGTAATAAGATTACGAGACAAGAAAATAGTATTTTACCATTATCTTAAGTCTCACTTTATATTGAAACGATCTTTTAATTTCCTCGCTACAGCTGTGACAAATTTTAATTCTCATCAAATGTACGCACACAATAAGGCAAACTATATCAGTATCAGTTACAAAATCATATTTCCAGCATTATGTCAAACAAGAATACCCTCTCTCCCATTTTATTTAACTGCAGAAGTATATCTTAAGTGTAAATGTTTAGTGCACAGGTAAAAGTCAAAATAACTTTCCATTATGTTATAACTGTGTTCAGTTGTATATTTTACTAAGCAAAAATAATCAACAACCCACGTGACCCACGACCATTTCTAGACATATCGTTTGGAATGTATTAGTAACGTTCAATTATGCAAAGGATGGGACAATTTTTTTATAATATAGGTAGGTTTTAAATTTTAATCTAAACATTTTTCATTATCAATTATAGATCAAACGCCATTATTACAGTCAATCCCTTTCGACATATAGTACTTACTCAACTCAACTTGACAGCGGAAAAATGAGCATATAAAGCCACTTTGATATGTTGACGTTGAATAATATATAACCAACACATCACTCATATTAATTTCATATCTAGTTTTAGCTACATATATTACTATACAGGCGGCATGAATTTGATCTATTATGATATTTAGATTGGTCCCCATTGGGCAAGCATTTTATATATCTTTCTGCTTCGTTCTAAAAGTAATTTAGAGCGACAGTCATTTTCTACTAGCATGAACGAAGCTTTCTCCCACAGATATTGATCTAGCTGGAGAATTTGACTTTAGAGAAGATCCTTGCATGTTATGACATTCATTTAATTTCCGCGACAAATAACTTTGGGAAAAATCTTAACATGCAGGCAAGACGATATATTCGAAGAAACATTAATACAGATAGAGTTTTATTTGCCGGAGTTTTATATCTTTATTCATGTTGCAGTTCTACTAATATTATATGAAATAGGTTATAGTAAACAATCGTTTACATTACTCAAGGATAATTTATGTTAGTGTTGCTCCACATATTGATCTCAACATGTTCCCATACATTTGTCACATATTCTGTTGTCACATTTCTCACCGCGTCTCTATAGTTATGATATTAATTAATTCCCGAGATGTTTGTACTTGTAAGCAAGACTGTAAGATTCCACTACACGACACGTATTTGTCCTCTAAAGTTCTGTCAACAGATCACCTTGGTGCATTTTTTTGGGTTAAAGGTAAGAAAATATTCAGATATAGGCAGTTTGTCAAATCAAAGCACACAAGGCGCTGACTTTGCTTGGGTCTCAGAATGTCAGAAAGGTGAAGGTTGTGAGATTATAAACCAATTTGTTTTGTATAGTGCCGCCAATGCTGTTTCCAGTGTTATAATTGTAGTAAATTGGCTATAAGGCTAATTGCAACACTGATATTCAATTAAATGTTTATTTGGCTTAAACAATTAAAAGAAATTGCCTTAACTGGGATTTGAACTCCAGACCTCTCGCTTCCTAAACTAGCATGTAACCCCTCGATCACGGGGAAGTTAGAAGATAATAGTGTGAAGAAAACCACATTATTCTAAAGTAGGGTTTGTAACCCTTATTAATTTCGATTTATTTTGTTCACGGTAAACCTGTTGTTTAACACTTGTGTAAATAATCATGGAGCTTAATATAAGCATGTTTATCTGTAAAGAATAACACAATATTAGAAATCTTCGACCAATCGGGAATTATTTTTTCTTCCCAGAGAAGGCTTGAAAATTAATGCGCCTGTCATTTGACAATCTGTACACTGTGATCTCCCCTTAATTTTTCGGCGTTAGTGTACTTATTAAATTTTGGGGACTATTTTGTTTTGAAAAAACCCCAATCAAGCGGGAAATTTTGCACATTTTTTGGGTTTACCCCCAAACAAATGAAAACTTTTAAAACGTTAAAATTTTTGCAAGGTTTACGTTTACTTTTTAAAACAGATAAAAAAAAATACAAACTACATTAAAAAATTATTAGACAATTTAAAAAAAAAAAGTTTTTTTAAATTTTCTGCCTAAATTTACATTTTTAAAATTTAGTTTTAAAAATAACAAAAAAACGGGGTTACAAACGAATTTGCATATTTTGGGGGTTTTAAATGTAGTTTAATTAAAACATATCATAAAACTGACATGTTAGGAAAATCGAGATATTTAATGTAATGTTATATGAAGATGCAATTAATAATAGTTTTTTTGTATTAACCTAACATCTAGATGTGTCATTATCTGAGGAAGCACATTTGTCCAGAAACGAAAAGAAATTTTCATAAAATTGATTATTCTTTAAAAACCATGACCGGTTGAGATGGCAGAAAACTATACAATTAAAATAAGCTGTCGTGAAATACATTTTATGCTATTTACACTCATTGAAATATTCAGTATCAGTAACCAAGTTTATTAAAATAAGACGTAGTTACAAATACAAATACCGGAATAAATAAAATAACGCTTTCTTATTCGTATTCTTTATTAAACATTGCCGCCCCTTGTGACTTAGGGGTTGCCTTTACGGGTAGATGTATTGAATGGCAGCCACCTTGTAACCCGGTGTGATGGTAAGAAGTGTCTAAATCGGTTCAAATTACTGGAATCTAAGCAACTCTTAGCTCCAGCATATGAGGTGGTTTTGGCCCCTGATATTGTTCGCCGCCATATAACCTCCATTATGTTGTTGCGCCGTATAAAAAACAACAACAAAGAACCAATATTGTGTCAACATGATTTCTTTCCATTCTGATTCTAATTGTATATTTTAGGATGCTACTGGATTAACAAATGCATTCAAATACAAATTGTTATTGTCCTACATGAGTCCTACACAGTGAGGGAAAATCATTGATAAGAATTTCGGGCGGTGGGGGGGGGTGTTGGTAACGTCAGACTTAATAACGATCAAGCTGGCTCTTCTCTCTATCTCCCTACTGTAAACTATCACTAGTATTGGAATATCTTTGCCAATAACTGCGTCAGGACATTCAAGAATTTTTTCTTGCTAACAAAGCCGGTTATTTCTGATATATTATAACTGATTTATCAGTCAAGTTTTAAACTTTTTGGAGATAACAGCGGATATTGTTAGTCAAGGTAAATATTGCGATATGTTTATTATTGACAGACATTTGTTAATTTTTTCAAGGAAAGAAAATTGATGCAAAGGATAGAAATTTTCTCAGATTGCACAAATTTAAAAAAACAACATCATGAACTATTTTGCAATTTTGCACATTTTTTATCATAAGCATCCTACTTCAACATAAAATTGGAATAATTTGAAATGTTAGTAAAAACACATTCTGGTAAATAAGTAAAACTTGTTTTTCCTTATCACGAAAGGTAAGACTTTATTATAAACTCAGTCAATAAATTTAAATTGTAGAATTTTTTAATGAAAACCTGCAAAGAAAAAAATTTTTATTTCTATATAATATATTTATATATAATTAATAATACAATTTTTACATCTGTGCAAGGGAGAATACAAATAGTGATAAATTTTAGATCATACAAAATAGTGATAAATCTTATATCATACAAATAGTGATAAATCTTAGATCATACAAATAGTGATAAATCTTAGATAATACAAATGGTGATAAATCTTAGATCATACAAATAGTGATAAATCTTAGGACAAATCTTAGATAATACAAATAGTGACAAATCTTAGATAATACAAATGGTGATAAATCTTAGATCATACAAATAGTGATAAATCTTAGATCATACAAATAGTGATAAATCTTAGATAATACAAATGGTGATAAATCTTAGATCATACAAATAGTGATAAATCTTAGGACAAATCTTAGATAATACAAATAGTGACAAATATTAGATCATACAAAAAGTGATAAATATTAGATAATACAAATAGTGATAAATCTTATATCATACAAATAGTGATAAATCTTAGATCATACAAATAGTGATAAATCTTAGATAATACAAATGGTGATAAATCTTAGATCATACAAATAGTGATAAATCTTAGGACAAATCTTAGATAATACAAATAGTGACAAATCTTAGATAATACAAATGGTGATAAATCTTAGATCATACAAATAGTGATAAATCTTATATCATACAAATAGTGATAAATCTTAGATAATACAAATAGTGATAAATCTTAGATCATACAAATAGTGACAAATCTTAGATAATACAAATAGTGATAAATCTTAGATCATACAAATAGTGATAAATCTTAGATCATACAAATAGTGCTAAATCTTAGGACAAATCTTAGATAATACAAATAGTGACAAATCTTAGATAATACAAATGGTGATAAATCTTAGATAATACAAATGGTGACAAATCTTAGATAATACAAATAGTGATAAATCTTAGATAATACAAATGGTGATAAATCTTAGATCATACAAATAGTGATAAATCTTAGATCATACAAATAGTGATAAATCTTAGGACAAATCTTAGATTATACAAATAGTGACAAATCTTAGATAATACAAATGGTGATAAATCTTAGATCATACAAATAGTGATAAATCTTAGATCATACAAATAGTGATAAATCTTATATGATACAAATAGTAATAAATCTTAGATAATAAATCTTATGCCATACAAAATCTTTGAATTGTCAAATATCAAATACTTAATTCTTTCTCTCAAGAACCAATTCACCTTTAAGATATGCACATGCATGGAACTGACTTATAAATGTGATTGCATTTAAAGTTACACATTTTGATCATGCTAAAATAACGTCTAGATACAGAAAAACGAGAATAACGTGCATATATATTGGAAACATGGAGAACATACTCAGCATATTGATGGCATGAAACAGGTTCAGTGGTCGGTCAACAATGCATTAGTACATGAACATTTCTCATTAATGTAATAGGTGGTAATTCTCTATCTATGTCATTAACTACCCATACACTGTAATTAATACAGATTTTTTTCAATTGATTAACTTATGTGATTTTACATTTGGACTTAAAAATATGAATTTGTTTGTATATTGTTTGATACAATTAATTTTTGAATACGTGTGTTGAAATGGATAAAGCCTTCAAATAGAGAGGTCAGTGACCTAGGTTTATCAGCAATCATGTTCATGAATTACCTAAAGGTAGAAAATATCCATGTAGTGCATAGCACTAGCGTTAAGTAGCTAAGTTTCATATATAGATAGTCTGGAAGGGTTTTGGTAATTCGTTCATGATATGTCTAGGCTAGGAATAAAACAAAGACTACGTGATTCATACAAATAGCATTTATTCCTTTTAATTTTTTTTGATACAATTACATATTTTTATATTATTTTTTCTTATCAATTATGTTTCACAACATAACTGTATCTGGTTGTATTAAATTATATACTTTTTTGCAAATTACTTTGCGACAAGTTTTTCTGATTGAAATCTTGAGTCAAATATAAACGTATTCTCTACATTATGTTTGCAGTCAACAGTATACAAAAACTCCATTGAAATTTAATTATGTCTGTCTCTATTAATTAAAAAGTGCAATTATTCTTTATACGTATGCAAAATAATAAATTAGGAAAAGTGTGTCAATATTTATGAAGAAAAACGACAACACGGCAGCACACATTTTTATACGATAGGTTAAATCAAAGATACAATGGCATAGATTTCTATACGGTAAAACAACAAAGTTCAAAGTTTCTATACGGCAAAATAAATCAAGTCTTTACGGCAAAGGAAAACAAGAAAGTGGAACAACATCGCGATCCCTCTAGGAATGTGTTAGATTGAGATAGAGCTCTAAGAAGACATATAACTAAGATGGGCATCGATTTTATCTGCCTCTCTTTATTGTGTTACCGAATACGGGTTTTCTTCTGCGCTGATAATTGTTCATTTACAGATATTAATTTCAACATAAAAGAAGAGAAATGTGTTGTCTGTTCATGTTTCTATGGTAACATAAGACCTTTAAATTGTACGATATAATGACGTATCTTTCTATCCAGATAAAAATTTAAAGAAAATACTGAAAAATAATCAACATTTTCCAAGAATTTTTGTCCCAGGTACAGTTCCTATCTATTGCATACCGTATATGAATTTGACACATAGGAAATCCACTTATCGCTCACAAATTTTCTAGGTTCGTCAGTAACTAGGTAACCAGAAAAGACTTGCTAGCATACATATAAAACAACCCACATTTTTGCCTTACAGCAGTGGAATAGTTCCAAAAGTAATTATTTAACTTTATAATCTGAATGGCATTTTTAAGAAAACCTTTACAAATATATTCTAGAGAGTCATATATCAAATTATTTTTTTCTGTTTATTTTTGTTTATTGTTTTGTTCTGTTATCTACTGAGAGAATATACAGAATAATTGGAAAATTTAATATGCTTTCAGAACAATATATAATTTGCAAGAATGCCATATATTTTGAATACATGCAAATTTCGTCGTCTATTTTAAAATGTATAACATAACGTATAACTATTAAATTATTTAAGAGATGCAAATCTAGGAAGAAGAAAAAACGAACTGTGCCTACATATATGAACCTTTCTGATACTAGAAACTAGTAACAGAAGAATGTATGGTTTTTTTGCATTTCCATCATTACCGAAATGATTCCATGTAAAAGTAAATGTACTGTGATTGATTCAAAGTCATCTTGATAATTAAATAACAGGCAAACCATAGCAAGTGTTTTGTTATCGTAAATTTTAAGAGTGTTTTTATCGTTAACTGATTAAATGTCTGGAAAAACAGTTTGACAACAAACATCGATATTCCAGGAAGAATGAGATAAACTGTTAGATTTGTTGCCATGGAAACATGCCTACTACAGAGCCTGGAATTCTGACACTGTCAGGAGTATAATATCTTTATTTATTTCCTTTTCCTTATTACCCGTGAATTAAGAAAAAATATATTTCAAATAATGCAGTGCATTCACTCTTTAAGATATTTGTTCAACAGAACAAATAGTTGCTTTAGTATTTCAGTTACTTTTTTAATGTTTAAAGGTACCGATATTTTTATCTATTATTCACTATAAAAATCGAGTATTTAAATCGAGTATTTTTATTAACTCTGTATTTCTTAAATGTACAATTTTTTTGATGCTCTTTTCTTTGCAAAATAGTTTCAGAAGTTTTAGCTAATTAAATTGAGTTATTTAAGTATTTATAAAGCATATAATGTTTTTATTGCCTTATTTTTCTATGACCATATTGATTTAAGAGAAGCGTAACAGGCAACATGACATTGCTATTTTCTAGTACGGCCGGAAAACCGGATATGACATATCTTTAATTCTCGATCTCTATTAAGACAATTTAATATCATCCATACATGGAACACTCACAATAAAATATATACAATATTTTTACTTGCATAAAGAATAAATGTATTATGCAGAATTGTATCAACTGAAATTGTTATTAAATTAAGGCAGCTGACGGCACGGGATCCTATCCATACAACCAGTGCAGACCAGTTAAGTCGGAACGTCCGCGAAGCCCGATCATTGTCTGAACTTTTCACTTTTTCAGTATTTAGTTTAAACATATTTTATTTTAAATATTTACACAATTATTTAGTGCAATTATTAAAAAATATCAGATCTCAAAGGACACACTGCTTATAAAGATCATTTCCTAACATGTTATTCATATCTGCAAACTAAGCAGATTTTTTTCCGTAGGTTTGTCGAAATATCGTATACATGTAATGGAGAATATTTTATTGACAATGAATTTTTTGTCAATTTCAGTCAGTACATACTGTTTTGGTGATGTCCAGATTGAAAGATTGACAAGTCTGTTTATGATATTTTGCGTAGTAAAGGTTAAGATAATGATAACTTCCATTATTTTAATGCCAGGTTAGCAGAAATTTTGTCAAACAAGTAATACGTTTATTTCTTTTTTTCTTTGTACTTTAATTTCTGCCATGTTGTGTAGATTGGCAAGCATTCATCTGCAATATGTCTTTGCTGAATGTTGTTTTTATTCCGGCTGACAAGCGTTATATCATATTGTCAGAATGTTTTTTGTTGAAACACCGTCATCTGATATAGATTCACCTCTCCCTGGAACTGGTGTACAGAC